ACCATTAGATGCGTTTTGACAAGCTTTACAAAAGTCTCTTAAGCAAGAAAGGTGATTAACTTAGTATGAAAAAAAGTCTACCTTGGGTGATCGCCATATTCGCATTATAGTAAATTTATATAGTAATCTGAGTCATATTTTACTATGATCATTCTTCAGGTGACTGGTAGATTATCAATTAAAGAAAAAAAGGGAAAAACCTAGAGAAGTTTGGGAGGTTTTTCAAGTGTATTTCTGTTAGTTTCAGGTCTACAAGCTTGAAATTTAGCTTGTTATAATGGGAATGATGAGCTCTTTAAGTTTTTCTAAGTTTGGAGAGTGTGTTTAGATAGCCGTTTTAGAGTCATTAAGAGAAGTGTAAGAAAAAGGGCCAGATGGCCGTTTTTTGAAAGTTTTTAGTTTAATATTTAAGTATTATATGTATTTGTTAGTTAAGAATAAGTTTATTTAGTAGCAAAACTAAGGTTAACTTAGTAGAAAATAAAGTTAGAAGATATTTTTAAAATAATTAAGCTGGGAAAATTTGTGTATAAGTGATAGATAGAAAGAGTTTTTTTTTCTTAATGACAGCACTCACATATGAAGATGCTTGGACTGCATATTAATTTTATTTTTATTTTTTTACAAAGATTACTTGTACTATTGTGATATATTTATTAGGACTTAAGATTCTATAATTACAATGTCATTTTGAACTAAACTTTTGATTTTGGTGATTTTTTTTCTTGATTTTTTTTCAATTATGAAACTTTTGGTAAAGAAATAAAAAGTGGGGATAGTTTTTTTATTTGGTTAGCCACTTCAAAAATTGGGTGTCACTGGATTTTTTTTGTTTTCTGTTGTCACACAACTAATGATACCTGACAAAACTATTTTTAAATGACAAAATTGTTTTGTCAACACACTTGCTTGATGAAACCTTGGCAATTGATGAAACTCCTGACGATTGATGAAACTCCTGCCGATTAATAAAACTCTTGACGAATCAATTTAACCAATAAAATATTCAGCATAATTACTATATTGACGTGTAATAATGCGTAATAACGCATATCTATGTGTTTTTTTGGGACACAATACAGTAGTTTACTTTTAACAAACTTCTTTATACGTAGCAACCTCTGAATGCTAATATTAAGATTTTTTTTTAAATTTATGTTTTAAAGTTTCAATAGTTTTATAAATTATAATTTTAATTGATGCATAATAGATTTTTTATACTAATAAAAATTTATTGCCGTATTCTAAATAAAGAAAAAAGTCTTTTTTGCTATTTAATTTGTTGGTGCTTTTAATTTTAATAAGCATATATTTAAGTAAACATGATCGGCTCTTAACATAAATTAAAAATTCATATAAAGCTATATTAGTTATATTTTAAGCACATTTGTTTTATTAAACATCAAATATTCCTAATTATATCTTTATGATTTAAGCTAAATCTAGCTAATCTATATTCTAGCTTCTATAAATTCACAACGTGCCTTTCTAAGTGCAATAGGCAAATTTTCACTATCTACTTCTGGATCAAAATCTATATCTCTTTCACCATCTTCATCTAAAATATCATCCAAATTATCATCCATACACATTTCTATATTTAACATATCTTCGATATTTTCAGTATCACTATTCTCCCATACATTCAAATCTGTTACTAAATCTACTGGATCAAAATCGAATACACTCTGCCCTTCATTATTACTAATCATTAGTTCATAGTTATATTCATCCTTCTCTTCATAACTACTAATTTGTGATCCTTCACTTTCACTGTCTGATCCATTATCTTGAAATGAATTATGATTTAAATTTACTATATTTTCAATACTAAGAAAATTAATGCTTTCTAAATTTTGTTTAATTTCAGTTTCAGTTTCAGTTTCAGAGTGTTCAATCGGATCATCATCACCAAATTCAGTTAAAAAAGTTGACGTTGCTACTAATTCTTGTAAATTATTAACAGGTAATGCTTTTCTATAAAATGCCAATTCTTTTTGAATATTTGAGATATAAAAAAATCAGATTTGTGCCATTGCCTGAATTTGAGTAAGTGAAAGTCATTGTTATCATTTTCCATATAACCAGCCTAAAGCTGAAAATATTCTTTCGCAGTCTGCTGAATGAGGTGTTATTGAAAAAATTTTAATTGCAAGATATCCAATAGATTTAGCACCAGTAAAGTTTGTTATCTACATAATAAAGGGGTATCAGCTTCAAAGCTATATGGTAATTTGAATCTTTTTTTTTTTTCTTTAAATTGTCTCATATATGCAACTAAATTTGCATATTCATATTTATCATGACCTTCATCTTTCCAAATATTAATTGCTGTTTTGGCAATTGCTTGAAATTGTCATTCACGTAAACCAGCACCTAATAAATAAATTGTATTAATATGATTTAATTTAATTAAACTTTAAAAGTATATAAACTTACTATGATATTCTGGGTGCAAAAAATATGCTAATAGATAATTATCTGAATTAAAATCATTTCATCTTTTATTAAAAGTCTGCATACAGTAAATTTTAAATTTACTAATTCTAAATCTTGAAACTTTTTAATTGTAGCCACCAGGTAAATGAATTGTACAAAACAATCTGCTAAAGTTGTTGACTGTGATTCTAAGTTTAAAATTGTTATATAAATTGGAGCTAAAATTTTAATTAAAATTTTAAGATTTGAAAAAAAAATGATCGTCTTAAAATTCATTTCACTTCACGATTTGTAATTAGATTAGGATTATTATTCATAATCTAATTAAATTAATTAATATTAAAAAAATTAATATAAATAATTATAAATAATAATTTACTTTAATAAAAGCACATTCAAGTCTACTAACAGATAAAACATGTTCATATTCAGAAATCCATCTGGTATCAACAAACTTTTTTAGCCCACCACCAGGAATTTGTAAGTTATGAATTGCTTTTTGTAAATGTGCAATAGGTTGATGAGATTTTTAAAGTAATTTACAATCTGATTATAGTCTCTTATTAAATGCGAGCTAAATGTATATTCTAAAATATAAATAATAAAATTTTGGATATATATTTCGTATTTTATATATTTTGCAATATATAGTACTTATTAAGAATATCCTTTGATAGAAGATTTACACAGTGCGCAACACAATTTAAATTTAAAATTTTTGGATGCTTTTTATAAATTATTTGTCGAGCAAGTTTCATATTACTAATATTATCAGTTACAATTGCTGAGAATTTACTATATTAAAACTAATTCAATTTTATTCACAAGAAATTCAGCTATATGTGAATTTGCAGAAAAATCTGATAAAGAGTATAGGTATTTATAGTGCATAGAAGTTAAAATTATGAAGCTATAAATTGAATTCCTATTAGGTGAAGTCCACCCATCTAATGCTACAAATAATAAAATTTATTATTAAATATAATAATAAATAAAATTTAAATATATATTATTAAAATTATATCTAAAGTAAGATTATCTGATTCATGAAAAATATTTTCATGTTTAACTATAACTTTTGAACATTCCTGATCTAATAATTGCCCAGATAATATTTTACTTGATGGTGGCTTATAATTTGGACATAAGTTTTGAAGAAAATCAATAAAAAATAGATTGTCTATAACAGAGAATAGAATACCACATACTACAAAGGCCTTTAATAATGAGCTATTTATAGAATTTATACACCCTTCTGATAAACTATCTAATTTTTGTGAAAAATAATTTGAAATACTAGACTGCTTATTGCTTTGTTTTTTAGTATTAGCTAATAAAATTTCAGATTGTGTTTTTTCTGTAACACCATCATGATGAGCTACACAAAGCAAATAGATTTGCCAGACATGATCTTCTACTTTAGAACACTCTAGTGCAAGATGTGCTTCAAGTCTTGCCGGTTTATCTCTTCCCCATTCAGTTAGACAAAATTTGTATTTGGCTGAAAAATGACCAGCTGATTTGGTTCACTTTCTATGAAAAAATTCCTATACTGGTGCTGGTTGACGACCTCCAAAGCTTGTTTCATTTGATGTAATTAACTCAGATACAGAGTTTGTTTCATTTAATATATTTGATTTAGAAATATTTGCTGGTAAGGTAAAAGAGCTTGATAATTTTTTTTTTTGAAGTAAGTGATAAAGACTTGACTTTTGTTTGCTACTTCCCATTCGTATCAATATTGTTTTTTTTTTAAAAAAACAATCGTGAGTAAACAAATATTTATACAATTGTTTTATTTGTCATATAATGTATTAGATTTATGTAATTGTGTTGATACCGGTTTGAAATTTACAACATATAAGCTTATCATTATATGCAAAAAGAATAGAGATTACTAAATTCTATTATGCTTAACTCTGTCTAATCCAAAGAAAAAAACCTACTAAGTTTTAGTTGTTTAATATAGGATTATGCCTATTTGTAATCTAGCTTTAATTTGTTTTAATAATTTGGATATAACAAGGTAATTTATTACTAGCATTATTAACGTTTAATAGCATAGATAAATATTTTCTTTGCACTTTTATTATACTAGCTTTTTAATTAAAGTAATAGTTACTTTTCATTATTGACTATAACCTATTCAGTTTATATAAGGTTTGTAATTTACTTATCATTATTTTTTTCGCTTATAAGAAAGAGAACTTTTGGCTTACTAATTCATTTATTCTATTTATATTTCGTTGGCTCTGATTACATATTTAATGCACATGCTAAATAAACTTTACTGATTAAACTAATATATTACATCATATATCACCTGATTATATTCTATTACATAACCTCAACAATCGAGTTCCAAACAATAGTAATTCAATATTCTCTAGTTATGATATATAAGGTATAGTTATTGCATGTTAATTATATTGTTACAAATTTCATATGTACTGTATACATTTATTTATACAAATTTATAACTGTCTAACTTCTTTTCAAAAGTATTTATATAACACAGAATAGTTCATTACACTGTATTTTTTTTTAATTTGGATTATTAAAGATGATCTGCAAAATATAATAAGTATTATTAATATGCTCTAACACTCAAACTAGAGATTTTATCTTGCACAAGATTATATTATCACATAAAAAGTACATCATATGTATATATATATGTATATACATATATACATGCGGTGCAAAAAATTTAAGAATCTCAATCTCTACATAGAGATAATGCATAAAATAGTAGTATATTAAAAACAATTTTCTTAAATTATCGAGCTTAATAAAGTGAAGAATTCAGAATTCTCAACCATCTTGCATACAAATCATATGCCAAGAATAATATGATTTAATAACAATGATTCAAGCATACTACTGAAATCTAAAAATATGCGCTAATGAATTCAGCTTATTTTTAATGTACATATTAGTTATTCTTATTCTACATAAAGTAAGTTTCTTATGCTAAATTTATCTTATAGTTCATGTGAATTGTGAAATTTATGTTAGGATATCTTAAATGAAACATATTTCTGGTTCAAACCTAAAAATAAACTCTTTAAATTTATTCTAATAATTTAAATTTTTTATTTCTTTTATAAAAAATCAATAGTAATATATTTCATCAATAGTTACAAGATTTGTCAATCAGAAATGCCTTGATGAAATGTTTCGTCATTCGTCAGGTATTATTACACACAACTGAACTAGCTAAAAAGCTGATTCCACCTCAAATAGCCAAACTAGTTTCACCAGTAGCTGCATTATAGATTATGTAATATTTTAAAAAAATATTATTTATGCATCTTAAAATGAGTATTTATACATAGGTGTCTAAATTACTCCTCTTAATAAAAATTATTTTGACATTTAGTCTGTTGAAATTAATTTTCTTAATGGTGAAATTAAATTTCATAGTTGTCAAGATTTTTAATAAAATTGAATTCTTTATGTTAAAATACATTAGGTAATATAGTTACTTTGCGGAATTTATATAAAAAAACTAGCAAAGTTAAAATGTTTGTTGAATTGCTTTTTTAAAAAAATAATTTAAACACATATAAGGGTACCAAATGATTTACTATCATAGTGCAGCACTATATAATTGGCATACTATAGTAATCTATCTACCATATTATTACAGACACTTTTTGAAATTTTATATTGAGCTAAATAAATAAGATATAATTAAGCATTAATTTTGTATTAACAGTAATTCTGTATCTATTTAATATATTTATTCAGTATTAATTTATTATATAACCTTATTATTATATATATATATATTATATTCTGTATATTATCTATAATTTTCTTTATTATTTTCATAACTATTTTTCATAGAGATACTGTTAGAAAGCAAATTCAAAATTTAATATATCTATTTAGAGAAAACTAATATAAAATTTCTAGCTTCTTATAAAATAAACAAAAAATATAATACTAATAATGTGAATTCAAAAAACAATAAAATTCTATTATAGATTGATATTTTTTGAAATAAAATTTTGCATACCAATGCTTAGTATTTGTTTTCTTATTTATAAATAATATTAAGACAATATAATTCAACAAAACAAAGAGAATAATAAATAAATGGCTACCAGAGTAATAAAAGACAAATTATAAGTGTAATCATTTCAGATCTTTGCAAAATCTTTATTGAAACAATTTATTTATATATGTGGACTGTATGAAAAGATTTGTCAGATTATAGCTATAAATGAATAATTAATACATTCATAAGTATAACTTATTATGAATTACTTCATTGAGTTTAATATATTATTATGCAGTAAAATCAGAAAAATTTTTTTTAAATTTGTTCTCTAAAAATATTGAAGTAAAAATAAGTTGACAATATCAACATTATTATACTCTCATTTGATAGAAAACAATAAAATATCAACAAAAATTCATGCTAAACTAGTAATTAGTGAAAAAAATTAGACAATATCATTACATATTATCGATTGCTATATTTAAAGCTAGAGATGAGGATATTGAAAACACACCAGAAATTATTGCTAAAGTTAAGGAATTGGTCTCCAATAACCTTCATATTACTATTAGAGGATTGGCTAACCTTCTAGATATTTCTTTTGAATGAGTTAGTTATATTCTTAATGAAGAGCTCATATAAAAAAATTTTGTGCAAAATGGATTCTGTATAAGTTAAGTGAAAAAAATAAGCAAGAACAAGTTAGAATTTCTAAAGAACTTTAAAAAATAGTTACCAAAATATAATTATAGGTGATGAATCATAAATGTATTTTTTTACTATTTTGAACAAAGAAGGCAATAAACAATGGGTTGAATTTGGAGAAAATAGACCACAAATTGCTAGAACCACTAAAAATAGTAAAAAATATATGTTTTGTATATTCTTTGCTGCAGATGGTATAGTAGCTAGCAAAGTGATTTCTAAAGGTACTAATGTTAATAGTAGGTTCTATGCTAATACTGTATTGCCTGAGGTGTTTAATAATTTTATGAAAAAAAAGATAGACATACTGTAAGAAATGTTTTGTTGCATTACAATAATACTAAGCCACACAAGGCAGATATTGTTACTGATTATTTGAAGAAAAACCATATTAAATTAATGCCTCATCTGTCTTATAGTCCAGACCTATCACTATGTGACTTTTATTTGTTTCCAAAAATTAAAAATGAATTAGCTGGTTGACATTTTGAATGGGTTAAAAATCTTGCAAGAGTGATAAAAACAATTACAGATAACATCTGTATGAATGAATATAACAGATGTTTTAAAAATTGGCAAACCCAGCTTAAAACTTGTATAGAATTTAATGGAGAGATTTTTGAGAGAATGCATTAATTTGTTATTCAAATGTATTATTAAATTTTTTAAATAAATACTTACTGACAAGACTTATTATTCACCCAATGTATTATTGAAGTCTATTCATAAAAGGCTATAGTAATAATAAAATAATACATGGATTTAACCTAATTATACAGTATAATCACCATTTATACATTATTTCTATAAATTTAATCATCAATATCCATTTGTATATTTTTTGTTTTTATATTTTCATCGTAATTAACCATCATGCTATCAATATCACATGAAATTATGCACTCTGTGAGAGGCTCCCATGACCCCTAAATTTATTTTCTTTTTTATTTTTATCTTTCTTTACTATTTTTATACTTTTGTACTGGTTATAACATATATTTACGGGCTTAGTAGCATTAGACAATATAGTAATTACGTCAATTACCTGTTTGGGTAGGATCTAAGGTCAAGAAGATAACGAAATTTCATAAATGAAATTTTCGCCATTTATTTCATCTTCTTGATCTTTTCAATGAAGAAAACTTGTTGGCACATGTAAGGCAAGGCGCTGAGCCATTAAAGCCGTAGCAATGTAAAAACTATATAATGCGATGTTTTTTCATGAAAATAAAGAGAACTCTTTTGAGTTCTAAAACTCTAAAAACTTCGAAATCAATTATCGTAGAAGTTGCACTTTACCTTTGTTACCGAAAGTATTCTTAATAAATCGTTTATTCCTTAACCCGAAATTATTATTAATATCGAAAGTCTTGAATCTATCGAAAAGAACAATACATCTATTACTTCCCTTAAATCATAATTAGAAATTAGATCACGGCCGATATAGTTACTCGTGACACCATTGATAAATTGGAATTCCGAACCCAGCTAGTATCTCCTCGTGACGTATTAATCTCCGAAGGCAACGCAGCCGTGGCAACGTAAACACGTGATTCTAAAGAAGCGAACATCCCAAGTTGAAGAGATAAAAGATATTAGTGGTAGAAATATCGATACAATGGAAACAACTAAGAGCTAACAAGACTCAAAGAATATTTATATTAACTCCGTCAAATGTTACAAGACCAAGAGACCTTGTAACTCGGACCAAGTCTTCCACGCTTCTATTCGAAGCCTACCATTCAAGGTCCTAGGAGTCTTGATACCACTTTTGGAGAATTAGAGTTGTAGATTAGATAGTTTAAGTGTTTGGTGTGGTTATTGTTTAGTTTTAGCTTTAAAACGGTTAGTCACACTTTCACAACTCACAACTAATAAATAACCATCGATACAAAATTAAATTTATTACTCTCCATAACTATTTCATTATCAGAATCTGTAAATTCAGATAAAATCTTAACATCATTTCTTCAGTTTGTAATAGTTTCATAAATTTCTGAAGCTGATGGTCTTTTTTTTGGTTTTCATCCCAACACTTTTCTAGAAGTTCTTTATAATACATCATTGTACATTTAAAAATAGTTGGCTTTAGTCCTTTAAAAATTTATACAGCTAAGCTTATATCATTATCTTCATATTCAGAAAATACAACTTTTTCTGAAGAAATTCCCACATAATTATTCCAAAAGAATAAATGTCTGATGCCTTAGTAAACGTACTTTCACACATAATCTCTGGTGCTATATATGGTAAAGTTCCATAAACTCCTCTAGATTCTGAGTCCAATGTTTTATTGACTGCAGTCGCAAATCCAAATCGCCAATATAAGCATTATGTAAATTATCCTGGAGTTATATTTCCACTATGCAAATCACGATGAATAATACCATGTGAATGAATTAATTTAAGATCAAATGCAATATAGGATAATAGCTCTAACTTTTTTCCCATTTCATTTGTACAACAATACGAAGATTTTGACGCAAAATCCCTTTTTGCATATTGCACAACTAAGATATAATCTCCAGTATTTTCATCTTTTGACACTCCATGACATTGCAAAAATGTAGGATTCTTAGATCCAATATCTGAATACGCAATCAACTTTTAAAATCACAGATGTTAAATTATTAAATTAATAGTAATAATTGCTAAATTTAATAATCTGCTATCAAAATATTTACCTCTTTTATAAGTTCTTTGCAACTATTTTTGATTCATGAAATATTTTAAGTGCAACGATTTTAGTTGTAGTATCATCACTTGCGCTTTTATGTTTCCAACTTGCTGAATATATAGTTGTAAATCCGCCTTTCCCGATTTCTTTATAAATTTTAATTCATTAAATGGAATCCATAATATATTAATAAGTCATTTTGGGCCAGTAATTTTTTCAAGAAATTATCAATATTTCTATGGTTAGTTGCTTTTTAACATTGATTGTTTCTTGCTTTTTGTAGCCATTGGATAGCTTTTTCATGATTAGACAATGTTCCAACACCATTCCAATAACATAATCCAACGTTATTTTGTCCACTTTCGGCAGATTTTAAATATAACTTATACGCCTTTTTCTCATCCTTTGTAGTGCCTATACCATCTTGATAACACTTTGCGAGATTATATGGTCCATTTAAATCGCCTTCTTTAGCTAATTTCAAATACCAATCAAATGCTTTTTTTCATCCACGTCTGTACCTATACCATTTTTGTAGCACAATCCGAGACTATTTTGTCCACTAGAATCGCCGATTTCAAATACCACTCAAATGCCTTTTTCATCCTTGGCTGTGCCTATGCCATTCTCATATAAGGATCCAAGATCAAATTGTGCAGTGGAATCGCCACCTTCGGCAGATTTCAAGTACTAAATCACCAATATAAGCACTAGATATATTACCTTGAAATATATTGTCACTATGTAAATCGCAATGAATAATTTTATGCAATTGAAGATCAGCCTTTTCTTGATCAGGCGACATTCCAATATCATTTCGATAACATAACCCTATTTCATATTGTGCAGCAAAATAACCATTTCCAGCAGATTTTAAATACTATTCAAATGCTTTCTTTTCATCCTTGTTTATGCCTTACTCTCTGTATAGAGACGACCAAGATTATATTGTTCACTGAAATCACCAATTTCAGCAGATTTTAAATAACACTCAAGTGCCATATTTCATCTTTAATGTTTCCTATACCGTAATAATAGCACAATCCAGAGATGGGACCCGAAACCAGTTTCGAGTAGGCCTAATTCCGAAACCCCGAAACTATAACCCGAAACCTTTGACCAATCAAAATGCAGGATCAGGTGAACGTAAAACTAAATTACTATACAAAATTAAATTTTAATAGTTTAGGGTTTTGAAAAAGTTTGAGATGGGGTTTAGAGTTTCGGATAGGTTTCGGATAAGGTTTTAGGTTTCGGGTTTCGGATAAGGTTTCGAGTTTCGGATGAGGTTTCGGAACCTATAATCCGAAACCCGAAACTTTCGGATTTGGCCAAAAAGGTTTCAGGTCCCATCTCTAGCACAATCCAAGACTACATTGACCATCAGAGTCGTCATTTTTAGCAGATTTCAAATACCACTCAAATGCTTTTTTTTCATCTTTATCAGTTCCTATGCCATGCCTATAGAAGTATCCAAGAATACATTGTCCGTAAGAATTACCACCTTCAGCAGATTTCAAATACTATTCAATAGTATCCAGGATTAGATTGTCCGTCAGAACTACCACTTCAGCAGATTTTAAACACCACTCAAATATCTTTTTTTACAGCTTTGCGGTTCCTATATCTTCATAATTGTACAATCCAAGACCACGCTGTCCATCGGAATTACCATCTTCAGTAGACTTCAATACCACTCAAATGCTTTATTTTCATATTTGGCTGTTCCTATACCTTTTTCATAACAAACCTAAGATTTGGGAATTGCCACCTTCAGCCGTTATCAAATACCACTCAAAAATGTCTAATTTTCATCTTTAGCAGTTCCTATGCCATGTATATCCAAGATGCATTGTCCATAGGAATTATCGCCTTCGGCATCTATACCTTTTCATAATAAAATCTTTGTCCTTGGGAATTGCTACCTACAGCATATTTCAAATACCACTCGGATATTTTATTTTCATCTTTATTGTTCCAATACCTTTCATTATTTTGCCCATCAGAGTTGCCACATTCAGCAGACTTCAAATACCGTTCAAATGCCTTTCTTTCATATTTAGCGGCTCCTATACCTTTTTCATAACAAAGTACAAGACTTAGTTGCCCATAAGAGTTGCCACCTTCAGCAGATTTAAATAACACTCAAATGCTTTATTTTCATCTTTAACGGTTTCTATACCTTCATAGTAAAATCAAAGAATACATTGTCCATAAGAATTGCCAGCTTCAGCAGATTTCAAATACCACTCAAATTCCTTGTTTTCATCTTTAGCGGTTCCTATGCTTTATAATATCAGAATCCAAGATTATACTGTCCTTGGGAATTACCACTTCAGCAGATTTCAAATATAATTCAACCGCTTTTTCATCTTTAGCTGTTCCTATACCTGTTTCGTAGCAAAATCAGGATTCATTTGTCCTTGTGAGTTGTCACCTCCAGAAGATTTCAAATACAATTCAAATGCCTTATTTTCATCTTTAGCTGTTCCTATACCTTATTCGTAGCAAAATTCCGGATTCTTTTGTCCTTGTGAGTTGTCAATTTCAACTGATTCCAAATACCACTCAAATGCCTTATTTTCATCTTTAGCAATTCCTATGTCATGTCTATGATAATTTCCAAGATGGTATTGTCTATAGGAATTATCGCCTTCGACACCTATACATTTTTCATAAGATTCTTTTGTCCTTGGGAATTGTCACCTTCAGCAGATTTCAAATACCACCAAATGTTTTATTTTCATCTTTATCTGTGCCTATACCTTTTTCATTGCGGTTATTTGCCCATCAGAGTTGCCACCTTCCAAATATCTTTCTTTCGTCTTTAGCGGTTCCTATACCTTTTTTTATAACAAAGTCCAAGACTTAATTGCCCATAAGAATTTTACCTTCAGCAGATTTAAATACCATTCAAATGCTTTATTTCCATCTTTAACGGTTCCTATACCTTCATCATAGTGTAACCATCGTAAGGGAGAGCTTGCTATTGTCATGCCGAGTTTAACTCCGATGGTTGACGTTAGAAGGGTTACATGAATGGAGCAATGAATTATGGTATTCGGATATTCATGATTTATTAGGCATTTATGATAAAAAAGAATGTGAATATATGTGACCTTTATTTATTGAGGAATTTTGAGAGCGAATGTTCTCTCTTATCAAAGGGCGAGAACAAGCATTTATATTCATGTTAATTTTTTAGTACGTGATCATATGATTTTTAGCGTAGACGCTGTAATTTTAGCGTTGACGCTATTAATTTAGCGTTGACGCTATTTTTTTTAGCGTCGACGCACTTGCAGGAATTAAGCCACAAGAATACGTAATAATGCCTAATACTACTAAGGTAATATTAACATGACTATGATGGTACAATTATAGAAGGTAAGTGACGACTTAAAGAATTAGACAAATACGGAAGTGAGAAGACACGGGAAAAATTAATCGTTACAATAGCAAAATCAAAGAATACACTGTCCATAAGAACTACCGCTTTCGGCAACTGCTTTCTTTACCCTTTTCATAACAAAATTCAAGAATATTACAAATGTATAACCAAATTACTCCTCCAGCCAAAAAAAGGTTTAATAGTGTTATATTTCATTATTTCAAATTGGATTGAATCTTTAAACTTCCAAGGAAGTCAGCGTGGTGGTTCTCATGGCAATTGCATTAGTTAACGCTTCTGCAAGATCATTCCATTTTATATTAAGTTCTTTTAATGTACTGTTTTTACGAGCTAATCCTTCCGGTCCAATGTTATTTCGACCAATGTCAAAAGAAGTTTAAGTATTATTGGTGGAAAGAGCATGGGCTAGCTCTTTCCCTCCATCCGGTCCAATTCTCATTAAGAATCAGAGAAGCTTTACAGCGTCTAACTCCAAATCATAGCACTGAATAATTAGTTTATTCAGTGTTTTATTGATAAGGAGTGTGTTGGCCAGTCGCTCTTCTAATTCAGCAGATTCAGAACTAGATTTTCCGCAAAGACTTAAAGAGGTCAACGTAGTGTTTTTACGGGAAAAATCCCCTAATTTAATTTCTCCATCTTTGAATATATTATGGTTATGTATACCCAAAGAGCTTAGGGTGGTATTTTTTTCGAGAGCCTCCACTAATGTCCCCACTCTTCCAATGTCCATTATAATTGATCTAATATTCAAAGAAGTCAATGTAGAATTATTATTTAGGTAATTATATAACCCCTTCTAATTCAGAATTTTGGAGCATCATCTGTACCCTCCCTGCGATGAATGGGAGGTATAATTTCAAAGAGGTGATGACTCCATTATTAAGCATATTTGTTTTTTAAGAACCAAATGCTTAATATCTTTGCCAGTTTTTAAAAGCATTGTAATCACAGCGCATTTAGCTGCATCTTCTCTTTCAGTGTCATTACATCGAAAACCTTTTTTTGCAAGCCACCCATTTAAACTGATATATAGATAGATCTTCGGTTATAGAAGTTATATGACTTGTATATTCGAATAGAGTGTCTTTGTTTTCCGGAAGAGTAGGAATAAGAACCATTAGTGTGGCTCTTTCTTCATTGTTTAACATTGTTAGGAGTAGTTCAATGACATTGATTAATTCATAGATCGATTACAAATTATGATGTCATTAATTCATATCGATATCGCAACAATTACAAATTTGACAATCATATGGATAATCATGAGTATGTTGTAATAATTATTCAACCACAGTTTTTTGACAATTCGTACATAATATATGACAAGCCTATCGCTGTGTAATAATTCACAGGTAAGGGACTATCAACCGACATAGCATCCACATGATTCATCTCTCTTATTGGCACAGCAAAAGTCGACATGATTAATTTTTGTCATCATTTTAGTTATTGTGCTTCAATAAAGTGATTAGATCGATAAAATGAAATGTCTATTGCTGTGTCGATATAAATTAGAAGGATAATTTTCTCACGATTTTTATTTTCACAGTCATATGTATGCATGTATGTCGTTCAGTATAAGAAGCATTCATCAGCAATTACATCATAATAATGTAACGGCACAGTGATGTAATTTATAAAGGTATTAACTCTTTCTAAAAATGAATAAATGAAAATCACTATTCCTACCAAAAAAGGATTTTTCAAAAATCAGCATAGTGAACATTAAAAAAGTCGGTCTTACATTTCATGTTACACATTCATGTGATCGTACTGGTATTATTTACTTGTTCATTTTTTGCTCATTTTATATGTTCGTTTCATTTGCCCCCCCCCCGCCCCCCCCCCCCCCCCCCCTAACTATGTCTGGCATAGGCTATGGATCAGAGGAGCGACAAACAGGCCCTACCGAGAGCAGTAGCCATTGGCGGTCAGACCAGGAGG